CATTTGTATGGTTTCTCCCCTGTGTGGGTCTGTTTGTGGGCATGAAAGCCACCAGAACTGGCAAAGCGCTTTCCACACTGCAGGCATTGAAAAGGCTTCTCCCCTGTGTGGCTTCTGTGATGAGCAGTAAGGTTTGTAGAGTTATAGAAGCTCTTTCCACACTCCATACATTGAAATGGTTTTTCCCCCGTGTGGATCATATCATGTAACTTAAGATGACCTTTTTCACTGAACCTCTTTTCACAGTGTAGGCATTTATAAGGTTTTTCCCCTTTATGCATCCTCTTATGTATGGTTAGAGAAGAGGTGTTGCTAAAGCTTTTTCCACACTCCAAGCATTCATAGGGTTTCTCCCCTGTGTGGATCCTCTTATGGGAAGTAAGGGCATTGGAGGTCGTGAAGCATTTCCCACACTGTGTGCATTTATACGGCTTCTCTCCAGTGTGAATCCTCTTATGTAAACTGAAATTGCCGTTGCGTGCGAAGCTCTTTCCGCACACCATGCAATGATACGGCTTTTCCCCTGTATGTATCCTATTATGTAAGGTTAATCTGCTGCTTGTGCTGAAACTTTTTCCACACTCCAAGCATTCATAGGGTTTCTCCTCAGTGTGGGTTCTGCTATGTATGATACAGCTTTGTTTTGTACTGAAGCTCTTTCCACATGTGCGACATTCATATGGTTTCTCCCCAGTATGGAGCCTTTTGTGGCAAGTGAGACCCCAAGAATTGGTGAAACATTTGTCACACATGGTGCACTTATAGGGCTTTTCACCTGTGTGAATTCTTTTATGGGTATTAAGGTGACTTTTTTGACTGAAGCACTTCCCACACTTGGTGCATTGATTTGGTTTCCCTCCTCTGTGCATACTTTGATGGGAAGTTAAGATGCTGGATGTACAGAAGCTCTTTCCACACTCCAGGCATTTGTACGGTTTCTCCCCTGTGTGGGTCCGTTTGTGGGCACGAAACCTATCAGAACGGGAAAAGCGCTTTCCACATTGCAGGCATTTGTATGGTTTCTCCCCTGTGTGGATTCTGCTATGTACGATATAGCTACTTTTTGCATTGAACCTCTTTCCACACTCCATGCATTTAAATGGTTTTT